GCTGGATTGCTCTTACTTGGAAAGGGAGAGTCTTATTCCATACCTGAGGGGGAAAAGGCCTGGGCCCTGAACGGAAGACATAGGACTCGGATTCTTCATCCTTGGATGTGTACGAATTGATGCTTGCTATGATACCAACCTATGTGGTCTTGGGCAAGCTGCACAGTCTCAGGGCACTCCCAGAAGAAGGGAATGGTAAACCGCTTCTGTGTATTCTCTACCTGGGAAACCCTTAAAAGGGTTGCCATATGTTAGAATTGGCTTGGTGGTGCATGATGATGATGAAATGGAACATACTTTGGTGTTTGATGGGATCTAGCTGTCCCTTTAAACCTGCCTGCTGTAAGTACTCCCAGCAAAAGGCAACAAAGATAAAGACACAAATAACTTTGTCAGATGGACTGATAAGACATACGGTGGTGCCTCTCTTAACGACGATAATCCGTTCCAGGAAAATTGCCATTAAGCGAAAACATCATAAAGAGAAAATAAAAAACCCATTGAAACGCATTGAAACCCGTTCAATGCATTCCAATGGGGGAAAAACTCACTGTCCAGCGAAGATCCTCCATACGGTGGCCATTTTCGCTGCCTGTATAGCGAGGAATCCGTCCCTAAACACAGCGGGGAGCCATTTTAATCACCCGGTGTCAATTTTGAAACCACCGATCAGCTGTTCAAAAAACATCCTTTTGTGAAGAATCGGTTCCCGAAGCAGGGAACCAATCATTGCAAACCGAAATTCCCCCATTCAAACCATCATTTTGCAATTGGAAAAAGATCGTCGTTAAGTGGTTTTGTCGTAATACGGGGCAATCGTAAAGCAAGGCACCACTGTAGTGTCATACCACGTGGGCTTCTGAATCAGGAAACTGGGTGACCCTGTGAATGTAACACAGCAGAAAAGTGAAGGTAGCAATTAAGTTGGCTCATTCAGTAGATCATATTCTGCCTGGCTTGAGAACATTACTTTCTTGGGCTACAACACCAGGAATCCTTGCATGGCCAGATATGAGTAACTTTCCAAATCTCTGAATATAAAGTTAGAATGCACGAGTGTCTTTGTGAAACTTCTTAGTTCCATCCTGAGCATTGGAAGCTGCCTTATATTGAGTCAGATCATCAGTGTTGCCAACGCTGGACCAGCAGCAGCCCTCTGGGGTGTCAGGTGGGATTCTCCCCTCATCTTACTTGGAGATGGTATGGATTGAACCTGGGACCTTGAGCATGGAAATCAGTCTTTTCCTGTTGAACTATAGTGAAGTCCTTCTCAGTCAAAGAGATTTATTTCCTGACAAGTATGTTTTGGATTGCAACTTGGAGCTGTAGTCCTTTGCTCACCTAAATAGAAAAAGCATGTCCTCTTAACAAAGTGGAACTTTCCTTCTGAAGAAATGTGAATCAGCTGGGCTGGGAGGCTACATTTCTGTTGCTTGCATAGGTGGAGACATTTATTTTCTATTAAAAACAAAACAAAACAAAAAACGGTTATCTTTCTGCTGCAGAATGTCTGAATGGTCCTGGTCACTGGCCTTTGTCATCCTATCCACCTGGTGGGAAAAGTTACCTTTTTGGACTACAACTTCTATCCCAGTCCTGCTGCCCCTTTCACTGTTCTCCCAGGATGACCCAGAAGCTTTTGTGAGAATGATGATCTGCCCAGGATCAGGATGTGTTGAGTATATGGATGTGTGAAGAATTGTCCACAGCCTTTCTTACAGTGTAAGAGGATGCGGGTATTTTTTCCTAAGTCGCTGGGGCTTGGCCCTGGAATCAGTACCAGGATTCTGCCACAGTGGTGGAGTGCCTTCTGTTGGCTATGAGCACACAGTTCCTCAAATTCATATATGGGCTGAGAGGAGGCGGGGACATGACTCCTATGTAGACTTGAATGCTGAGTCTTGTTTTAGAAATTCAGCAACATAACATGCTTCTCCACGGAATTGGCAGTCCACAGAACTGTTTGTGAAAATCATTCAATTGCTTCCCCCCCCCTCTCTCTCTCTCTCTCTGTGTGTGTGTGTAGGTACAATACAAGCAGCAGAAAAGCCTTCCTAACTTGTCATCTGAACAGCTTGATTCTAGCCATGTATTTTCCAAATTGACTGGCAATTTGATGTTTAGGAGTACAACCTCTGGTTTTGGGTAACAGTATAAAACGGTGGCATCTGTTTCCTGGTAAGCACACAGTTGAGCAAGTGTGTAGCAGACAGAGCATTGGTAGGGCTTAGAAAATATGGGTTCAGTTCCCCATTTGGCTATTGAAATGGGTGGCAGGGGCTAAACCGTTCCTTGAGCATCTCACAAACTTTAAAACCCTTTCACAATCACCTGAGGTCAGATGTAGAGATGATTCAGTTCCCCATTTGGCTATTGAAATGGGGCTGGTGGCAGGGGGCAAACCATTCCTTGAGCATCTCACAAACTTAAAAAACCCTTTCACGGTCACCTGAAGTCAGATGTAGAGATGGGCATGAACTGCCAGTTTGGCGATTCATGCTGGTTTGTCGTTCGGATGAACAGGTGTTTGGCGGTTCCAAGCCCCACCTCCTCTGGCGGGGACCGACTCAGAGACAGCACCCTAGCTTCCCTGCCCCATCTTCTCCAGGAGCCACCTCTGAGACAGGGCCCGCCAGAGGAGGTGGGGCTGGAAACCGCCGAAAACACAAGTTTGTCCAAAGGACAAACCAGCACGAACCGCTGAACCACATGCCCGTCTCTAGTCGGAAGCAATCTGACAGCATGTAACAATAATAAGCACATGGAGGATCAGGTTGCACTTGCCTTGCAGTCTTAAGCAATTCCAGCATACTTGTGCTTTTCTCAATGAGAGCTGTTTGTACTGTTTCCTCCTAAGTGAAAAGGTATTGAACTGTAGCTTGTAAAAAGAAAAGAAATGAACATGCAGCAGAGTTAAAATGACTTGCTACATTTGTGCTTTAATGGTTCTAGTGCTCTGTAAGGAGAAGTGTAATGACAACATGGGCTGGAGGAGGATTTATTCACCTAAAGTACCATGGAGGGGAGTTGACAATGGTAGCTGCTGGAGACGTGCTTACTTCGGTTAAGCATCTTTTGGACAGACACTGTCTGTTCTGCTTACATGGAGACTAGGCTGCTGAAGATGGCTGGGAGCACCAACGTGAAAAATGTGCAGGAAAGGAATTTATTACATCTCAAATGTAAGAGGAGGATTTATTCACCTAAAGTACCATGGAGGGGAGTTGACAATGGTAGCTGCTGGAGACGTGCTTACTTCGGTTAAGCATCTTTTGGACAGACACTGTTCTGCCTACATGGAGACTAGGCTGCGGAAGATGGCTGGGAGCACCAACGTGAAAAATGTGCAGGAAAGGAATTTATTACATCTCAAATGCACTACTGGTAGAGAGTCGGTATGTTGTGGGCATTTCCTCTTAGAGCAAACAAACCTCTGTGGTTTCAGGCAGCTACAGAACAAAGACCCATCCCATGTTGCCTTCTCCCTGGAAAGCAAAGAAATAAATACAGTATCCTTAATCTGAGACCCTCTTTATCCTTACAGAAGATATAAGAGCACAGCAAGATGGCTCCAAGCACATCTTCCTAGGTTCTGCGGTGAGTGCCAGAGCAGAGGTTGAAAACAGAAATAACCTGCCAGAGGAGCTTCACTCATACCTCTGCACCAAAGCTCTCACTGAGGTTGAGGAAGGAGGGGCTAAGATGTACAAACAGCAATATGCCATACTTTCTGTAAGTTGCCCTTTACCAGCACTGTGCCCAGTGGCCATTTCCCTGCTCTCCCTGGCATGGGCCTCGTGGCCCATCTTCCCTCAGGCCACTGCTTGCACCTCTCAGATCCTCTTGCATGCCAAAACAGCTCTCTAGATCCTGCAGACCCAAGTATTGGCCCCACGAATATTGGCAGCTTTAATATCCTTTGTATCCAGATCACATTTTCCACTGGCTAAAGGCACACCTTAGCTTGAGTTACCCCACCAATTCACACTACCGAGGTGCCTCGCAAGACGAATGCCTCATGGGATAAAAAACCCGCAAGATGATTGGTTTTTGTGGTCACTATGGTGCCTTCAAGACAGTTTCTTCTATTGCCATGCTTCGCAAGACAGGTTTTTTTCCCCCTGAGACCAATGCCTTGCAAGATGAATAAATTTCATTCTTCTTGCGAGGTTCCCATAGGGAACCTCACAAGACGATTTTTTCGCAAGACAGCGATTCTCGCAGAATGAATTACATTCGTTTTGCGGGGCACCACTGTATGCCAAAATAAAGTGGTTGTGACAGTAATTTGAGAGATGCAGCTGTAGGAACTGATGGGTAAATCCTTCTCTTTACAAAAGGCATCATTCTCAAACCTGAAGTTTGGAGGCGGGGTTGTCAATTGTGATACAGAGTTCAGAGGCTTCACTTCCTTCAGAAGGCTTCCAAACCGTACAGAATATCCTGTGTTAAGCAATTTTGGCCCGCATAACTGTCTGTCTGTCTCTCTTAGCTGTAGTGCCTAAGTCTTGTTAGGTTTTTCAGAGGGAAGCTGAAAGGTGTGCCATGCATGATTGAAAAGAAGCATTGGCTGACATTGTTCACTGAGCTATATTGCGGAGCAAGAAATCCATCTCTTCCCTATTCCTATTAGCACCTGTCTTCTCCTGTGAAATGTCTTGTCATAGTTTCTAGGTGATAATTCTCCCGTGATGAAGAATTTGCCCTCACCTGTCTCAACACACGTGCCTCTCATTTCCAGTCTGTCTTGAGCATAAGTCTGGCCTCCATTCTTACTTCTTCTTGGTCTTCACCAGGCCTTTCCCCACCAGGCTGCGGTAAAGTTCCTGGATGTAGGTGTAGATGCATTTGTTATCTGGAACACTCATGCGCACCATATCATCCACATCCAGAAGTTGGGCGCAGTCAGCAAGTTTCCTGGGAAGAGGGTGGCAGAGAACGAGTTAGTGCGATGCCTCTATCAGCCTCCCTGATTCTACAAGGCACCATCTTGAGCACAGTCCTCCAGATCAGAAATATAACGAAGCCTCACTTGGAGAGGCTGGCTTAGGGTTGAAGCGGAGTGGTGGCCACACGACATGTAAGGAATCTGACTTTTGAGGGTGCCATCGCTTCTGCCCTGCCTTTCCAGAGGACGGCAATGGTGAGAGGAAAACCATTTGGTAGCCCACATGACACAGAGATTAGTTCTGTTGGGCCTGGGAAGGGTATAAACGGAGACATGGCAGCTCTGTTTGATTTGATTATCTGTTAATCACGCTTCTACTTTTTTGAATGGTTTGATAATGGCATTTCTCCCATAAATTTCTGTAGAGCCTTGTGTTGTCTCCCATGGCTGTCAACATTTATATGGAACTACTGATCTGGAGATTTGGGATGAATTGTTGCATCAGTACCATAATGACACCCAGGTTGGATCCAAACATGGTCATATTTGGATGAGATCCACTGAAAGCAATGGAAATTAATTTAATTATGACTAGCTTAAATCCCACTGATTCTAATGGATCTTGTCTTAATGTGACTATGTCCAGACCTAGCCCAAAATAGTATGTGAGCTGCTATACAATTGGAAATACCAACAGGTGGAATACAAATTACTTCAATAAATAATTTTAGATGGTTATGGGCAGCAAACAGCAGTGCATTAACAAGGGCTGCTGTGTAAAAAGGTGGATCAGTTCTTCCAGCTGATCCAAGCTGCCCTGTACTGTAGTCATTATATCTGGGGATGGAAGGAACACTCACTCCGCCGTGGAGAAAGCCAGGGCAAAGTTCTCTCTCCGGTTTGCTGGGTCGAGAGCCGCGTAGTCAAAGGCATCTGGGAAGAACTTGTGGATGAGGGCACAAAAGGCCATTCCGCTGCTCCAGCTGGAAGAGAAGTTCTGGATGTCTACATGCTGGGATGAGAAAGACAAACATGGGAACACTTCACCTTGTCTTCTTACGCAGCGAGATACACGGAGACACAGAACAGTTACCACCTGAGCTTATTATTGGGAACATGTCTACTCTAGGCTGTTATATTTTTCAATAAATAGTCCTACAATAGCTAGTGTCACACAGGTTAGAAATCCACAGACCAATCTCCCTGTGTGCCTTCCCTTTCCTCATCTCCAGGAGCAGGTGTGCTTACTCACTCTTCCACCGGCTGTACTGATACGCTTTCTCTTCTTCAGACACCCACCAATTCTATTTCTCTTTTCCTCTGTCACACCTCTTCCCTCTACCCGCCTTTCTTGCTGGTCTTCCATCACCCTGGTATTCACTCCACTTACTACCCCACTCTATTTATTCCTCCTTACCAGAACCTTCTCTATCTCTTTTATATTTTAAAGAGTTCAGGGACCTTGTAAAACGAAGTTGCATGCAGAATGTTGTTTGCTCAGCCATTGCTCTGATCCAGGAAAAGCTGCCTGGATGCTCTGTGGAGAAATAAACTGCTGGCATATATGGACACAGAGTTCCCTCATTTAGCAATCACATCAATCCTGTGATATACTGTAGGTGGAACTCAAGGAGAGCTATTTGCTCTAGGCCACTATGTGAACAACAAGGCTGTGGAACTTGAACCACAGGTCATGTTAGATGGGGATAATGGGAGTTGTAGCCAGAACACATGTGGAACACTATCTTTTAGGGATGGCTGATATAAACCAGTATTATAGCATTAAACCATGCTGGCTCTTGGATTTGGGACATTTAAATAGGCATCTGTTTATCTGCACTGAAAATATCTGGAATTGCAGTGTGTATGCCTCTGCCTTATCTAAAACTGTACTTGTTGAAAAAGGCAGATTTAAAACACACACACGCACAATACTCATACAGATGGAACTGCTAATTCTGCATTATACAGAATGTTCAGTCTACTGAACAAAATGTATAAAATACAGGAATTATTGTTAATTATCTACCAAAGCATTTTAAGCCAAATATTAGCTGGAATTGTATTGGTGTTTGTGTAAGATTTGTGTAACTTGCCATGAGGTTCTTTCTGGGGCTCATCTCAGTTGTGTAACTGGGCACATGATGAGGCAGTTGTCTGAGACGCACCCCAACTGTGTCAATTAGCCCTAGCAAGTTATCTAAACCTTAAGTAAACAACAATAATATTCTAGCCAGTATTTCAGGGAGCAACTACACAGGTTGTCCCAGGCTGATGCTTCTTTTTCTATACTACATCCTGACACTGTGTACTGGCTGAAATAGCTGTTATTCACATGAAAATGTTTAACTATCCTGGTAAGGTAAGACAGGTTGCTGTCCTCTGAAGATGCCGGCCACAGAGATTGGCGAAACGTCAGGAAGAACAACCTTCAGAACACGGCCAAAGAGCCAGAAAAACCCAGAACAACCGTACGTTGAAAATGTTTACCCAGCAAAGAGTCAAATTAAATGCATTTCACCCTCCTCTGCCGTTATCTCTACCCTTTGTCCCACCAGCCCCTCCTTTCCCCCCCCTTCAGTTTGCAAAGTGACATAGTGCTGAATTAATAAGACAGGACAACTTCTGAATTACTGCTGCATTCCTTGTCTGACATAGCTCTAAACTAGTAATGTTTTTTTAAATTTTTTTAAAAAGTGTTTTTTAAAGACCTGTCAATGTTATGTTTATGAGCTTGAAGGAAGTGATGTTGAACTCTCACTCACTGCTTGATTGAAAGTATGGCCCACAGTATGATCAAGGCAAAAAGTGAGCCAAAAGAGTGCAAGCAATATTCATAGAAAAATATTGGGTCTACTTCGGATTATTATGTCATATAGCTGAAAGAGGGGGGGGAACCCCAGGAACTTGTAGTGAGAAATTCAGCACGAGTAACAGGATAAATGCTCACGTAGCTGTGTGCTCTGATAGTTTTTCCTTTTTACCAATTAGCTGTAAGGATATTTTAAATTATTGCTTTCAAATAGAAACAGTACTGAATGATTAAACCGAATGGCAAAGAAGTATTAATATTTGCATCCAGTTAGCCTTGCTATTCCATTAAGAACATTTTTCAATAGTTAAAAAAAGGTGATATAAAAAAAATAGTTGAGAATCTCATAACTGGACATTTTGGATGTCACACCTTGGTGAGAAAGATCACAGGTTTTGCTCATCATTCCACAGTCAAGATGATTTACATTGGGTGAGATTACACTGTTCTAATACAACATGCCTTTGACTGTGTCCTTGTTTAGAGAAATCACAAAGTAGAACTAAAGGTGAGAGACAAGGAGAGAGCATCAACACAGCCTGAGGATCTACCAGTTTACACCCCACCCCATAAATAAAAGTGTGTGGGCAGATGCAAAGAAATGGTAACACCTGCCATTTATAAAGTGCTTCTATTAAGTTTAGAAACTGAATGTTTCATATACAGACCTTCAGAGATTAGACATTTATTAAGTACTGTATCTAACAACACTGTGTGATAGCTTCTACTAAGGAACTTGATAGTGAGCATGGCAGGCTGAGGAAGGTCCCTTTTAAAGTAGGGAAGGCAGTCTGCAGGGAAGGGATGCTTCATCCTTTGATCCCTTGCTGTGACCCCCACATCTTCCAATGTGTCATGGTCCCAGTTCAAAACAGCACTCACACCTGCACGAGCTTGTTAAGATTTTCTTTTTTCTTTTTTTTTAAAATGCCTTCATATTTGATACATATTAAATACCACAAGAACCTAGATCCTCTGTAAGTCTCCAAACAATTTTGTAGGGTGAGTTGCTGCACAATATGGGTTGGTTATAATGGCATTTTTCATCTGCTGTGCTGAACTGTTCCTGCTGCCATAATTGGTTCCGCATTAGATGATTTAAATTTTTTAAAAATTATCGCTTAGTAAAATTATGAGGACAGCAAAGTGTAGCTTGGAAATGTAAAAATAAAATATTAGGCAAAAGCTTAGACAGAGGGTGAAATCTGAATCACAGCTTACTTTCTTTGCTATAGATGATCACATGAGCGAAAAGTTGGAAAGGAAAGGCCTGTCAACTGAACAAAATATACTGTGTGGTGATGCCAAAAGATTGGATCTATTCACGATTAGTGTTAACGTCATGTAGTAGAACAAATATTGAAAAGAACAGCGAGAAACACAGCACAAACAGGACAAAGAACACTCTAATCGCTTCCTAAGGGTCTGTGCAAAGAAAAGGAAGAGCTCTAATGGTATCAGAAGTAATAAATTTCCACCTAGTTCCTCAAAGCAGTTATTCCCCTACTACAAACTCCATCCAGGTCTTTACACATTTTTATAATTCATTTGTATACCATGTTTTCCATCCTGGGACCAGAAGTATGGTAGAATCTGTTTGTGGAAGACAGCAAAGCCTAGAACAGTCCCTATATCTAATGTCAAGACAAATACGACAGAGACCAACATTAGTTATTGGTAGCACCTAAGTGGTGGAGTTTTGCAATGCAATTTGTATATTTACCAATATACGAGTCTAATAATCTCTCACCCTGAGTGGTGGAGCTTCTCCGGTTAAATACTCTAGAACAGTGGTTCTTAACCTTTGTTACTCGGATGCTTTTGAACTGCAACTCCCAGAAACCCCAGTCAGGACAGTTGGTAGTGAAGGCTTCTGGGAGTTGCAGTCCAAAACTCCTGAGTAACCCAAGGTTAAGAACCAGTGCTCTAGAAGCCTGCTCCGATGCATGTTCACTCACGAGTTCAGTGGAACTGACTCCCCATGGAACTGTGTGCAAGCGTCTAGTTTTACATTCTCATAAAAGCTGCTCGTCACCCCATGCCTACTTGCAGCTGAATTGTCAACACCACCCCAACTCCAGACAACCAATGGTAACAAAAATGTGCCTCCTCATCCCAGGGGAACAGCAGAGTCATTAACTGTAGGGTTCTTTAAGGGTATGGGTCGAGTTCCCTCCTCTCAAGTTAGGTCACTTTCTTACCTCATAGCCTCGCGTCTTGGCCCGGCACCATTCCAACAACATGGTCTTCACGGTGTTTGCACCTCCTGTCTTCTTGATGTTGGGTGCAGGACCACTTGCAGCCCTTTTGTGGAAGAAGGTGGGTTTATTTTAAGGAAGAAGGGAAAGGGATGGGTGGAAAACAAAACCTCTTTCTCTCACGCACCCTCTTCCTCCACAAAAGGTTTGGTCTATCTTCTTGCCCAGTTAAAGGACTCTCAGCTAAGTGCTGGTTCAAGGCATTCCCTACCCCTGAGATACAACTCTGAATTGGTAGAATTGCCTTAGGGGAGAGTGGGCTAGGCATGGAGCTTCACAAGTGGTTTTGCTGGCCGTGTGAGAGCTGGGGTCCAAAAATGGAATGTTTCAAAGATTACCTGGCTGCAGTGCCCTCTCTTTTGGACTATAACTCCCAGCACACCTCAGACAGTCTGGTCCTGGCCATGCTAAACAGGGAATTCTGGGAGTTGTGGTCCAACTATTCCAAGCTCTGCTGATGCCAGCTGTGCATTATTTCATAATGCTTTGCAAATGCACTTTAAGTTGTTCCATCCTGTCTTTTGAGGCTGAACGTTCATCAAGAAATAACAGAAACTAGGAAGGGTCCACATTTGGCTGAGTACATGTGATGGGCCAATTGGTGAAAGCACAACCAGCAATTCCTATGAAAGTTGGAAGAGTTGCTTCCAGGTAGACATTTGCCAGACTGGTCTCTGCTCCTAAAATGCCAAGTCTAGTCTAGTCACTGTGACAGAAAGAAACAATGCAGCACGGAGCTTTGAAGCATGCTTGCCATGTTTGTTTCTGTTCTTATCATCTTACTGTGTATTGCTTATTTTATTGTTGTATACTGTATTTGCCTAATTTGCTTGTTAACCATCCAGAGGAGTGCTGTGCACTAACTGGACAGTATAAAAGTCAAAGAAATAAACAAATGGAATTAATAAGGAAGCATTTTTTTTAATAAAGAAGAACAAAATGGAAAGATTTCAACTATGGTGAAGGCAAATGCTTACCCTCCGAACTTCTCCACAATGGCCTTGCGGGACTGAGCTCTAGGTGGCATACGGGGCCTTGTTAGCTCCCTCCTGTCAAATGTGGGCCTCTTCTTCTTTTCCTTGGATTCAGCTTCTCCCTCAGGTGGGGAAGATGGCTGCTTTTGGTTCCCCTCTGGGGCTGCTCCAGTACTGAGACTGAAAAGCAAGTTGGAAGCAGATCACAGAGTCACTGACTGAAGAGGTGACCGTTTAGAGACTCATCTGTGCTCCATCTCCTCATTCAGTGGTTCTCAAAATGAGAGAAGGGCAGGCGGCAATGGTGGCCAAAAAAGGAGCGAGCCTCTTCCTTACCATTCTTGGGGAAAATACCCTAACATCCAGGAGAAGGGGTTTGTTGCCACCACTACAGTAATGCCTTTCTGACACTGTTCTCACTGTCCTAAGAAGTCATCCCTATATTCTCTACACAGTGTTCTACATGACCATGTTCATACCCCTTTCCTCCCCACCGCAAGTCTCTGAAACAAAGACAGGAGTGAAAGTTACTATTGATCAGTTATCATTTCTCCAATCGTGGTGGATCTCTCTCTCCGCCTCCCCATTTTATTCCCATAACAATGCTATGAGCTAGTTCAAGCTTAGGACTCAGGCCCACTGAGCCTTTGTTCAACTCCTCTTGCACCCACGATACCAGTGCTGCATCCCTGTGATCTAATCCACTAGCCCACAGTTGCTCTCGGAGACAGTCTCACCTGGTGGTGTCCCCAGCTGCCGCCTCTGGAGAACTTGGGCTGGAGGTGGCGTCACCTAGACGGAAGGGAAGAAAGCTGTGTGGTTTGACTGAACCCACATCTCATGCTTTTCCATCACTTTTCTCAGAGCTCCTGTTCCCAAGTTTATTTTTACAGTGAGAGAGACAGTAAGTGGCAGTCATAAGGAAATGCAAACTAACACACAAAATATTCAGGTTTACACATGTTTGTAGTGATCTCTCCAGTATTAGAAACATGCTTCCTTCCCCCCTCCCCAATAAAATGAAAGCTGAATTTCTTTGGATGTAGTCTGTGTTGCAGGATTCCATGCCAGGTGCTCCTTCAAACCATCAATTGAGAATACAGTACCACCTCCTGAGAAGAATCTCAAATCTGTCTTGCACTACTGTTAAATTCTCACAGTGTGATGAATCATAATTTCCTTACCTGTTTCCAAGCTTTTGAGGCCGGTAGGGCTTTGTGGACTCTCATCAGGAGAACTGGGAGAGAATTCTGGCCAGAATTCTTCTTCTTCCTCTTGTTCTGGTGAGAGAGGCTCATCAGAAGTGCTGCCAGTTCGGCCCTGCAAGCCCAAACCAGAAAGAACAAGCCAAAACATTGTTTTAGTTTTGTACTAAATGGCACCTGGAATCCTCACAGTGTCCCAGAAAGTGTAAGAACAGTGGAGCCTGTTTCTTATTAGGATACAAATAGAGCGCTTCTGTGTTTATAAGAAGCCCAAAAGAAAGGAGTGAACAAATGAGTGGCTTATACACATTGATGGTTCATAACTGGGGCTGAGGGCACCTCCCCTCCAAAAAATTTGAGCCATCCTGGCTTGTACAGATGTAGGTGCACAGCATTCTCTCTCTCTCTCTCCCTAAAATGAACCTTGATGTCCTTCCATCTTCTGACTTTCTAATTCAAAGCCCCACACTTCCTCCTCTCCTCCAGGCATCACAACTTAACATAAAAGACAAGAGATGCAACAGATGAAAAAACAAGGCGTATATGACTGGGATTTAGGGGTATAGATGTTTTGCCTATCTGTCTATTTATCCAGAAAGGATTGCACATGGCTGTGTGTGTGTGACAAGAAGACAAGGAGGTTGAAACTGTGCTCCGTGTGTGACTGAAGGGAAACCTGCCGAGACAGAATGCCGCAACAAACGAGTTGAATACTGTGACTTGAGATGCCACGTCTGTTCCCACCTCTCTGCTGGAAATGCTGGTGTTTCTCTCCAAGGCATCAGCTTTTCCTTCTTCCCCTTCTTGCGGTTCTTCTGGTGTTCCAGAAACATCAGCTTCATCCTTAGGCTCCGTTCCAGATACTCCAAGAGCCACTCTATCCCCTGCCTCTGTCTGGCTGCCCTCACTAACGTCCTTCTCTTTTTCCCCAGGCTCACATTCCTGCACTGCCTCATTCCCTGAAGGGTCTCTGGTGGGTTCATTGACCACCTTGGCCTCCTTCCTACCAGCCTCTCCTCCCCCAGCCTCGCTCTCCTTAGGAGCTTCACTCCCAGCTGACTCTGTTTTCCCTGTCTGGATCTCTCCAAGCACCTCCTTCCCAGAGGCCTCTGCTTTCCCCCCTTCCCCAGGAGCCTCCCTTGCCCTCCCCTCAGAGGGGCTGTGAGCATCTCCCAGCGCTCCCTCCTGCTCCTGCCCATCGATCTGCTGGCTCTCCTCCTGCGCCTTGGTGCTTTCAGCTTCCATGAGGCTCTGTTCTTCTTCCTTTTCAGGGGCGTAGAAAGCAGGTGGCTTCCTTCCGTGCCAGTTCTGGAAAGACACAGTGCGGTACAAGGAATAAAGTGTAAGAAATAAGGTGCTGAAAGCATCCACTTTCTTATACCAATTGAGACAACTATTAATGTTCTCTAGCTATAGGAGCAAAAATATTTAGATACATTTGCAATTAAATGTGTGAACCGACTGCATTGCAGTGTTTGAGGGGACCCCAAAAAACAAACAAATAATAAACATGAAATCAGTGAGGCTTCTTCACGGGTGCAAATAACCAAGAGATGAGCATGAAGGTGTGAACGACAGGGCCAGCAGTGGGGAGGAGGAACACTCGTTGTTGCCCCCCCCGCCCTACACAGCTTCAAGAAGGTTCTCTGCCGCTGAGCCAATGGGATGCCTGTACCTTCATCACAGTATAGGACAACAGATCCCAGGTTTTCAGCTGGAAAGAATTCTGGAATTTTAGAATACCAACTGGATAATCTCTTCTCTCCAGAGATTCCAGGGAGGAGTGCACTGCACCTGTGTGACAGCGCCTTGCTCTTAATATTTGCAAAGGGGATTGTCTGTCTTGTGTGTCATCAGTATACAGCATATGGGCTCAAAATGCAGCTTAGCGAAGAGCCTGTACAACATGTGCTTTAAGCCACCTTTCTTCTTTCTAGAGCCTGGAAAAGCTGCCTTATTTTGAACTATGACTCCCAGAAGCCATCAGCCCCTGGCTGTTTAGGGGGAAAAACCCAGCCATGTTGGTTGAAAGATTCTGGGAACTGCCATTCAAAAGGTAATTTTTCCAAATTCTTCTCTGAAGAAAGGCAGAGCTGTACTTTTCAAGAGCATTCATATCAGTCCTGCAGCAGGACCCAAAGCACGTTTCTCCCTGGAGTGACAAATGCCCCCAGCATGCCAAGACAACATATCCCATAAGCAATAATAAACCAAACAAGAGATCAGCAGCCTGAGGCAGCTTGTCTCGCTCTGCCTAATGGTAGGGCTGGTCCTGCCATAGAATCTTCCAAGAACAACTTGTCAGAAGCAGAACATAGAACCTTGAAGGCTGGTGTATGGATCACGTTTGCATGCATGTGTGCCTGCAAGTCCCTGCCCTCTCCTTCCTTGTCACTTAGTAAATCATCTTAAATTAAACCTGTAGACAAATGCCAGGAACAGCCAGTGACTTGAGCATGAAACGTGCAACAGGCAATTATGAAGAGAAGGGGCAGGTGAGCAACCCTGTCATCGACTAAATATACCCAGCCTGCCCACCCCACCCCCCATTTCCTAATACAGTTGAAAAGGACACCTGAGCAAAAAGCCTGGAACATTTGAGGGGGGAAAATGGCAGAGCTCATTGGGTTCCCTGATTCCCACAATTCTTTCTAAGGCTCAGATCCTGTACTTATTGAGTGTGGACACCCGTAAGTCTCATTCAGGTCAATAAGACTTAGTTTTAAGTAGACATATATAGGACGGTGTTCTGTTCTTTCGGAATGGCTTTGTTACACCATCCTGGACAGGGGCAGTGTAATGGATAGATAGATGGACGAGGACTCAGGAGACCTGGGTTCAAATTCCCACTTGGCCATGGAAATTAACCCCCGGGATGGGGGACATGGCAATAGGAGACCATTTTTGAACCTCTCACATATGTCAAAAACATTATTAAGGTTGCCTTAAGTCAGAAACAATTTGATGGAATGCAAAAACATGGGGAGATATTTCAGAATATTTGTGCCTTCCGGGAAAAAGCTCTTATGTAGAAGATGCGAACAAAAATAAAAAGGATTTGTGAGTAGTCAGAAGATGGGGTACAACTTGTCCAATAAAGCCATGCCTTTATACTTCAGATTGTTAACATCTGAACAGTTATTCTTCACAAGGAATAGCACATCTCCCTTGAGATCTTCTATATATGACTTGTTTCCTACCCCCTACTTTGTACAGGACTCCTCTATTCCTGGGTCTGACAACGCCCCTAACTTTCAGTGTCACACCCCTATAGTCTTTCCAGCCTTGGATTCCCTATGGAAGGGGTATAGAGGTAGGGTTTCCCCAGAGACTGTTGGATGGCAACACTCACTGTCCCCAACCGATGGCTGTGGGGGAAGGGATAAGGTTGAGAGGAGTGTCAAGGAATCTTTAGGGCATAGGTTCCATCTCTCTGTCCTACAGGTGCATATATAATTCAGTGCTATCTTAGATCTTTATGCTGCAACATCCTTGCTCTGTCAGGCATTGTCTCTCTGACATGGGAATCCAGTGAAACAGGAATGCATCTGTCCCAGCATCTATGCAGAGTGAACTCTAGCCCTTGTAAATGTCAGGCTGAAAACTTGCTGTGATGACTGCAGAGACATCACCTCCTTCTTTAGCAGAGAAATCTGTTGAGTGATAGGAGCAACTTGAGCAGATTAAAATAAGCCGATCACTTCACTGAAGAAAGAAACTCTAGTCTTTATATCTGAATGGGTGTTCATCAGAATGGAAGGTTTCCTCAGGAATGAAACACATTGTACAGGGCTGGTACCCATTGCTTAACGTGGCTGTTGGATGTTATGGCAAACCAGAATTACTGGATACTAGGCCTGTACTGTATTAATTTTGCCTTGATTGGCCCTCCCTCCTGCTGGCTGCTGATTTTGAATCTGTGTTCTGCAGACAAATCTTTTTATAGAGATTCTATAAAACGGAAGTGTGTTCTTCCTTCTAATAGAAAAGATAATCTCTAGGCTGCCCTGAACACTGCAATGGTTAGAAAGTGGAGGCCCACTTTTTTTGTTTGCAAAATCAGACTTTTTGGGTTTTGGTCCATCCAATCTGAATCTAAGGATGTTTGACTGAGGAGGATAGGCGTTGCAGCCCAACACATTGGGAGGGTGCTGAGTTGGAAATATGGCTTTTAAACACTGTAGAACAGATAGAAATGAGGCAGGCACTACATTTCACATCACTATATTCCTTCTAGAAACAGTGTAACTTGCTAGAATGCTGACAGCCCATCACAGAGCCTTTCTCCACAAAAGTGATGGCAGCTCTATTATTTTAAAATCGGATTCAAAACAACAATAAAAGCCATCTAAAATAAAACACCGATGACAACAACATTCATGAAAGTCATAACAACAATTAGCCATTATAAAACAAATAGAAAGAGCATTAAAATAACCAGAAGATATATGACAGGGTGAATAGTAAAAGCACAGAAAAAGAAACAGTTTTCTGCACCGCACTAAAATGACCTCAACAGGCACTAGAAAGTGAGCCCCCCGGGCAGGGTATTCTAGCCAGAGAGCCACCAGAGAGACGACACTTCCTTTGGTCACCACCCGCAACATGCTAGATCAGGGAAGACTCATAGAAAGACCTTTGTAAAAGAGATTCTAAGCATAAGACCGCAGGAAGCTGCCTAATATTGGTTCAGACCATTAGTCCATTTTGCCCAGTAAGGGCAGCAAACATTGTGCAGGACTTCAGACTAAATTCTTTCATAGCCCTATCTCGGGTTCTTTGGTATTCTCTGATAGCCTCCTGCCCAGTTACTAACCAGTCCTGACCTTAGAAAACCAAACCAAACCTTTTTAGCTTTATAAGAGTGAGACAAGCATGTCCAAACCACGCTTTGCCTCCTTCCCCTTAAGTCTTGTATAAGCCCAATGTTTTGTAACTCTGGTTTCCACCTTCCACCTTGGCTAAGAGAACACTGTGCGCTCCCTTGTATACATTTGTGCTGAGAACTTCTCTCCCACTTCTGATTCCTCTCCCCTTCAGGATCAAAGTGTCATATTTGAACTGCCCAGGACCTGTCTGGCCATCCTTCTAAGCGTGAGGAATATGCATCCATTCAGACATGTACATACCAAATGTTTCTTGAGCCTAGCCCCACAAAGGACAGTTGGAAGGGCAGAAAGGGTGCAGGAGATGAAGCGGCACCTACAAAATGGCTGGTTTGCCCTGAGTGTGGCTTGCTCTTTGCCTCCTGGGTGTCCTTCTCCCAGCTTCTTCCCAGTCTGCCTTTCCCCATCGGCGGTGCCTGCAGCACTTCTCTCATTGTTGACTACTCTGTTGATACACCCACCCTCTTTACTGTGATGGGTAACTAGATGCTCCTATTTTTATCAGAAGGCCAACAGGTGCCTCTTTCAATCACAGCTCCCGGTTCGCAGAAGGGCCAGATGGAGCCAGGACAAGGTGGAGAGGGAACTGAGCAGTTCCAGCAAGCCTTCTGAGCAACTTTTGCATATTTTGAAGGGAATCTTAGGACCAAACAAAGACATTACAAATCATCTTTGACTGGAATTCCTCAAGTGCTGATGATTTGCGATTTGTCACAGGAGGAGCTTTCCTCAGCTTCCTTAATGTGCAAAGCAGCCTGCTTTGCTTTGCAATTGGCATTCCGGCCATATACATGTTCTCCTTTTCCAAGTCTGATTTCTAAGACACTTAAGGATGTGATATTCAAATTGTCCTGGGCTAGATTGGACTAGATTGGTTGCTTTGAAGCATAGTATACTATTTGGGGTGATCCTTGCATCCTCATTCGAGGATCAAGTGCTTCTGGGCGGGAAGCTATACAGCAACTCAAGCATCACTATTTAGCTTATTCTTTCCTTTAAATGGAAAAGAAAAAAAGACAGCCCCCCTCCATTTATTTATTTATTTATTTGAGGCATAGTGCTGAATTGTCTTGTGATTCAGCTGATGCAGCCCTAGATTAATGAGGATTCAAAAGAGAGAGAGAAACCCCTCTGTATTATCTTCTGTCTCCCCCCCTCTGCAGGGGAGCAGGAGGAAGCTTTAAATTTATCAATGTGTAGGGTCCTTTCCACCAGCATGAAGGTAAGCAGCAGTGGCTTAAATGAAATGACAGCCAAACAATCCACTTTAGTCCAATACTAGCAATCACACATGCCAGAAGTGTACAAAAATGGAGCAATCTTACCTGCCCTTAAAAAATGGTAGCCCCTGAAAAAAAGTGCAAGTAGGCTCAGCTACAGGTCAAGCTGGTTAGCAATTGTTGTATTGTATGGTCGTTGTAATATGGCATGAACCAGCACATTTCCAAAACAGTCCACACACACAATGTATATATACGGTATATATCTGAGACTTGCAGTAGATACTTTTTGTTTGCCAAGTAGGAACTAGGGTGGCCACATGTCCTCCTTTAGGGAGGTAAGTCCTCTATTTGAAGAATTATATTCCTTTTTGGTGATATGTAAATGGCCACCCTACCCTGCAGTGAGTTTCCAGGGCTGAGCAGAGACTTTTGTAGAAAAAGACTCCAGCCACACACATAACTATTGATGCATTGTAGGAAGGATATGGCATGGTGTGTCAATTTTGTACCAGCTTCAGATATGAGGTCAGTCCCACTCGTAGACATTGTGAAAGCACTATTCAGACCATTCTTCTGGAATAACTGATTATGACCAACTGAATAATTCCACAAAATTAAACTGATCTGATCCTTTCTATATATATTCATGTTCAGGAAGCTACAGAAAATACACGGCACAGGGCATTTCAGAGAATGATTAGTTATTGCGCCTTGTTAGCTGATTTGCTTTATACTCCATGTTTTTTTCAATGCAGTGTCCCAAGGTGGTTACCCAGTCACAATATTGTGCAATATTGTGAGCAGTAGTGCATTTCACTTGAGTTTTAGTAATAATGTCTAAATGTGATATTTGCATATATTAGTTTAGATTAGAATATGCACATTTAAAGCCAAAATGCCCTCCTTTTTGGTGTTTTTCATCCTCCTTGTCCGTGATGGAGCACTGACCAATCTAATAGGAACAGACTGAAAAGTATTTTTAACAGTCCGTGATGGAGCACTGACCAATCTAATAGAAACAGACTGAAAAGTACAGATTCTAGCCACATAGAGTGGTCCAGTGGTCCAGATAGGCGGGGTATAAATCAAATCAAATCAAATCAATCATTCAATCAATCAATAAGTATTTTTTAACACTAAACAAGATTTCAGTTGATAAGAGAAAAATGCCCTCTCTTTCAGTGTCTGTGCGTTGAGGAGTGTTGAAAACAATCACTCCCCTTTAAAGTTAGTGAAAAGAACCTTGTTGTGTGGGCCTTATATTTCTACTCCCAGAATTACAATCACTCCCCTTTAAAGTTAGTGAAAAGAACCTTGTTGTGTGGGCCTTATATTTCTACTCTTTCCCCAGAATTATCACACGCTAGTTAGAAGTCCTTCTGAATTCATACACAATGTAATGGTTGTTAATTATGTTTAGGGTTGCAACCTTATTCTCATAAAGAGACAGTGTGTGTAGTTATTTAGTATCCAGATAGGAACTGTCAACAGGCACAAAACACAGTACCTTGATATCCTGACCAAGGCAATCACTTGGAATCCAATCCCAGCATTTTCCTCCAAGTCTGGATTATTTGGGAAAATGCCTTAGTTCATCACAAGTGTTCCTCAGACTGCTTCATTGGCAACATTGGTTTACAAGATAAATATTGTCCACTTTCTTTCTCATACCTTTCACAGCCTGACAGAATATGTTTCCTGTAAACACTGCTATGGGATCTAAGCTGAGATAGACCTTTGCTGGGGAAATTGCAGGGCTTCAAGGAAAGATTTGCCAAGACATCTACCTCTTTCAGGCCTATTTTAAAATGTCTTCCAAGAGTGAGAATGAAAACTGTTCAGTGTATGCAGAACACTACATATGGAAAGCTGGACTAGATTCAGATGAAGGAGAAATGAAAATTGGTGGAGGAAATATCAATAATTTAAGATATGCAGATGACCTTATATTAATTAATAGAAAGCAGCAATAACTTGAAAAGACTTTTAGTGAAAATGAATGAAGAAAGTGCCAAAACAGGACTGCAGCTGAACATTGAAGGGGAAAAATCATGACTACAGAACTACCTAATTTTAATGTCGATAATGAAGAAACTGAAATAGAGATGTTGTATACTTTGGTTCAACCATTAATCAAAATGGAGACACTATCCAAGAAATCTGAAGACCTGTTTCGAAGACTTGGAAGGGCAGCAATGAAGGAACTAGAAAAGATAATCAAATGTAAGGATGTGTCACTGGAGACCAAGACCAAGACCATTCACACTCTTGTATTTCCAGTCACCATGTATGGGTGTGAAAGTTGGACAGTTAAGAAAGCAGACAGGAAAAAAATGATTTGTTTCAAATGTGCTGCTGGAGGAGAGCTTTTAGTGGATACCCTGGATTGCCAGGAAGATGAACAAGTGAGTCTTAGATCATATCAAGCCTGAACTATCTCTGGAGGCAAAAAAAAAAAAGGTTGAAACCAAGGCTGTCCTGATTTGGGCACATCATAAGAAAGCAAGATTCTCTGGAAAAGACAATAATGTTGGGAAAAGTTAGAGGCACCAGGAAACAGTGAAGACCAAATATGGGATGGATCGAGTCCCTCGAGTCTGTAGGAGCTGAGCACGGCTGTTGAGGACACAACATTCTGGAGAGCTCTCATTCATGGAGTCATAAGTCAGAGGCAGCTTGATGGCACATAAAAACAACCACCTCTTCAGCAGGACACCAACTCAATCTCATCCAAGCAAATCCCCACTTTTCATTTCTGTAGCAGCTCTGACACCTTGTGGCCAAACTGGCAATTGACTTCGGTCCCCTAAACTCAAACTGTGACAGGAAGCAAAGAGTAGTCTGTGGTCCAGTCCTGCCTCTGTATCATCCAGCACTTTCCCACCTGAAATAAGGCTGGAAGATTTATTCTCTTATTATAAAGTTTTGCATTTTTTGCCTGTTTGCATGTATGCTATTTGGGATGGTAGTAGTCTTGCAGTCTTCCAAGGAAGGCAATTGATGTGACTGTTACTGTTATCTCCAACAGCTGCTACTTAGAACAAGAGAAATCTTACATGATAGAAGTGGAAAACATACATCAGGACCTGATCACCTTATGCCCAGCTTTTGTCCTCCCTCTTGGCCCTTCTGATGCCATCTTGTTCTCCTGTCCCCTAAAAACCAAATTTTCTGAATTTTTTTACCTAGTGATAAAATATCTCAGTGATCAGAGGAAATGTTTATATCCCAGTTGAGTGACTTGGATGATTAAAATTTTTCCATGGTGCCGTTGGTTATTCTCCATTACTTAGGATAACAACCCAAGTGATGAAGGCAGAGTCGTCCTCCAAGCCAGACAAGAAACTGTTGTTGGCTCTTAAGCAATCCCTCTACCACCCTCCACCCCCAAGACAGGTGTCGCTTGTTTTGCTCTTTATGTAACAAGACTGCACAAGACTGGGCTAAAATTACTTACCAAACGTGAAAGCACAGGCAGCTGCTGAAAGATGCTGCAGGACAATGATGTTTTATTGGCCTTTAATATAAGCATACTGCAGAGGTTCAGCTGCAGTCAAATAATCATGAGCTGGTCAAGAAAAATGCATTATCAATGTTGTTCTTCACCAACATATAAATTCCAAGTTAGGTGGAAAGAAAACTGAGGCAATTTTTATCTGGATGTCAGCACAGCTTTATGAAAAATATCTCCAATGACATGTTTTATAGTACAATTCCAATGAAATCTTTGCACCTTTTTCTATCTGAGCCCCATTACAAGCCATGTGGCTTCATGACCTGATATGAGAAATTGTGTCATCCTGGCAGGGGTAGCATTTCCAACCCAATGGATCATCTTTCAATTTTACAGCGGTGTAGTGTGAAAATGGGGGGAAATGCATTAAAAAAACAAGAGGGTTTAATCCACACATGCAAGGAATATCATTGACATCTGCCTGTTCACCCATTTAACTGCTAATGCTCTTCTCCAAAAGAATCCTAGGAAATGAAGTTTAATGAAAGATTTAGGAATTCTAGGTGTAGACACTCTTCCTCCTTGTAGTTTCAGACATGTAGAATTCTCATGGTCCTCTGTGGTCAGACTGACTCTTAACCGGTTTCAGTTTGTGATGCACATACTCTTTCAGGAGAGCACTGAGTTGCTCTGTAGGTCCTTTGCTGATTGCTAAACACTCACCTTTTCCTTGACCACTCAGAGAAAGAAACAGATGCTGGTGAATGTTAAAGGAACATAAATCACTAAGGAGTGCAGCATAATGCAGCTTCATGTTGAATGTATGCTCTGAAGATCTTCATGCATCTGGTCACTGCTTTTGTATTAGAAGGCCATGTAGCACTTTCACGCATCAAAATGGCCAATGACAGTAAGTGTGGCTTATTTTCTTCACACTGTCAACAGTGTTTTGGTTTGACTCTTCACGAGAAGACCTGTATAGCAAGTGTTTTCAGTGCTAAAGAGATACACAAAACTCATCCAAGGCTCTTATAGGACCATAAGAATTCACTTGATTTATCATAGGATAAGTTTTTATGGATGAGAGTCCACCTCATTTGATGCATGCCATTTTATGTTCAGCTGGTATGTGTTTGTATACCATATATTTTACATATACTTAAATACATGAGTGCAGACGAGAACTGAAACAGCAAAAGAGTAAAACAGAGTCATGAAATGGAGACGACACACTTTGTTAAATTAAAAATTAGCACAGTGACCAAAACAGGAGCATTACATTGATAACAATTGTGTCAGCCTTGTTGAACCAATTAACATGTATAGGCTTTCTGCCTATAAAACAAACTGCCTTTTCTAATATGGCATCACTGACTGTGCTACCAGAATACACAAAGGGAGCAAGACACTACTTCCCAGTTCAGAAGGTAATCAGCCACAACAGGCTACACCAAATTTCTTTCTGCACTGACGCACAGTGAAGTCCAGAATGGCCAGAAAATCACACAAACCATCTGTCTCCATGATTCCTCTTGCACATTCAGAAAAAAACACAGGAAAGGCCCCTTGGCAAACTCATTCCCAGCTCCTTTAAGCAGCAGGGCATCCGCCACAGACAAGTTTAAGGTGCTTAAATTAGTGGGTCGCCCTCCCCCAGGATTACGTCTTGCGCTCCTAGCTTTTAAAACTCCCGAGACCCTTTTTCAGGAGGGAAAGCTGAGCTTTGAAAGGAGATAGCCGGTGATTCTTTCCCCACCTTTCTTCAGTACCATTCTTGGGATACAAAATGCTGCTACGGTACAGTACTTGATCTTGTTCTCAAAGTATCTGGGCATCTTCTGTTTGTGCACTCAGTGACTAATGCCCGCCATGTTCTTTTTTTAGATTCTCCTCTGGGGACGATCACATAGATAGACGACGCCACGGGGCTTTGCCAGTCAGAACTGAATCCTGGGCACACACCCTGCTCAAATGCTGTAGATAGGAAAACAAGAACATTGACTTCCACTTGATGAAACAGATAGTATGGTTTCTGATAACATTTAAAAACCCAGTTAACTGTGGGTGAAAAGTTAGCATTAGGTACAAAAGGGGGGAGCACATAATATGCACACAGAACCCATCCGTCCGTGTTCCCCCTGCCCCCCCCCGGTGCTCGCGGCGGTCTCCTCTCTATGGTTTAGTCATCCACAGAGAGGAAAGGCCGTCCCCGTTGGCCTCTAGCTCTACAAAGGCCTTTCAGACTTGAGGGAAGAAGCATTAACCCCCACCGGGCTTATTCTAGGTGGATCGTTTCTTTCGCATTCCCCTTCCTTGTTACAGAGAACAACGGTGGCTTGAAGGCATTATTCGTTCCAGGACGTCTCTATGGTATCGAGGAAGGGAGTGAAGCGAAAGGCTTTCTGGCGGAAGTGTCTTTCCCTCGTGTTTCCGGTTGATCGCTGGGTCTGAAGGTGAGGTTTGCTCGCAGTGAGGAATGTTGCTTGGGCGGCGGGAATTAATGGGTAGAGCTGACCGCAGAAGTGCCCCCTGTGCGGTGGTACGATTTGGGGAGCGCGGCGGCCTCATTGCACAGGTGGGGAAGTATTGAACGCGAATGGTCTTCCCAGGACTGCCTTGTCAATGCTCCTAGGAATACTCAGAAACACAAGGCGGCTTCCACCCGACCTCTTCATGCTCCCTTTACTCCCAGAAGTAGAAGCCGCAACGCCACATGGTTGATCACCTCGGGCAAGATCTGGGCCGGGCATCTCCTTCTGGCCTCCATTGTCACTCCAGTGCCAATTTTCCTGCTGTCGTTGCACAGATCTGTTAGGCAAAGTGAGAGGTGAAGTGTGCACAGACTAGGGTTAGCTTGCTTCTTGCTGTCTGGCCTTGGATACAGTACTTGAAAAATTGAACAGGTGTTTAAAATACTGGTCAGATGTTAACCTCATTGTTGGTGTGTGTGGGTAGGTAGAGGGCCTGGGTTCTGATGTTTTGTGTTTTTCAGCAGTTTCAAGAGCAACTGTCTGAGGGGTGATGGATCCTCTGCGGGCTCAGCAACTGGCAGCTGAACTGGAAGTGGAGATGATGGCTGATATGTACAACAGGTATTTGCAAGCCACAAACCCAGGAGCACTCATGAATAATTGGAAATTCCTAATATGAATTTCCAATTATTTTGGAATTTCCAATTATTTTGGAAGAGTCACTCTTGTGGGTGCCTTTTGTCACATATTCTATGCTCTAGAGAATCTTTTCCAAATGATTGTAGACTTTTTGCTAGGGAGATTCTTCTTTCCCCCAAATAATGTACTGCTTCAATATACGTAACTGTCTTATTAGTAAACTGTACAGGATACAGAATCACATAGAAAGTGACTTTGGTTAAAGCAATGTTCCATCTATTTCATGACCTGACATCCCCTTTATTTGAGCTTCAGATTTTAAATTTGTAGTTTAAATTTAGAAATTATCACTGTACTGAAATCATTTTAAGCTGAAAATAACCACAGTTTGTTTGTCTTGTTACAAAACTTAATAAAATGTAATGTTTTTTTGGGAATGTTACAGTACATACAATATTGCCTTAATATGATCATAATCATATGCAAAGGTTATCTTAAAAATTTCTGAAGATAATATTTTAATATTGATTTCAGTAATTTTACAACAACCCTAGAAAAGAGATCAGTATCTTTTCAGTACAGCATGTGAAAAGCTGAGACTGAAAGAGATTGACTTTTCTAGGGTGGAAGAAGCAGGATTTGAGCTAGGAAGCTCCCTATTCATACTCATGTCCCTGCTTATTCCATCATTCTAAGACTTCAGAATTCTTCTCTGTATTTAGTCAGAATCAAAGCCAGAGAAAATTTCAGAGCCTTCTGCTGCTTGTCCCCATGAAGCTTTTCTATCATCAAAAACTCCTCCTCCTGTTTCCCAAAACACATGCTTGCCTTCTTTCACTGTCTGTTTCTTTCAAGCAGCAGTGCAGATGGGTAATGAAGTGGGGGGGCATAGAGATAAAGGAGCCGCCCTTTGTGTGACTGCAGGTTTCCTTCTTGCCAATATCTTCTCACTGCCAGACCACCTGACGTATGTGACTTCTTGCTGCAGCTTCTACTACAGCTATCTTGCACCCTAATGTGTGTGTCTACTTCTGTAGTTGTGCCATCATGTTCCTCTCTCACTGCTGCAGCTGCAGGGCTCCTGTTTCCTGCCACGATTGCCCCCCCCCCACTCATCTACAAGACTGCTGTTTTCTCCCTGTTGTCCCCCTCTGCTGTGCCCTTGCTGAGCCAAGCCAGCAAATCTCATTTGCTTGCAGTGGTGGCTACACCGGAGGCTTGAAACCAAGTGGTGGTGACTATCAGTGGACAACAGCACACAGGATCACTCTCTCCCTCTACGCATGTGTGAGAAAAAAAATGAGTATGTAGGTAGGGCTGCTCCCTGTTGTGGCACAGCAGATAAATCCAGTGGCAGTTGCTACTGAAGGCAAAGGAGAGAGCAGAGATGACAAGCGGGAGAAGGAACCACACAGGTGTCCTAAGGACTGTTGTCTGGAGAGCATGTCTTTACTGACTGGCCTTCCCTGGAATTTGTTTGTGACCCTCTTTCTGATAATTAACCCACCTTGTAAAGCTACCTGGGGGTCTTTTTAAGAAGAAAGGTGGGATAAAAATATGATGGATGGATGGAAGGTAGGTAGGTATTGGCCAAGTCTAGGGAAATTGTATTAAAAACAGTTCATAGATGGCATTTGTGCCTTGTGAAACTTAAAAAAATTAATGAGATACCAGTGTGGTTCATATCCTTTAAAAGACTATTAAAGCTAAAAACAGTAAGTATATCATATTAAAACGGATCAAACATATACCAAACTAAAAAACAGTAAAAAGCAACACTTAAAAGACAGATCAATAAGGCATAGCATCCATTAACCCCCCCCTTTTACGTTTCATGTTTTTATAATTAAATGAGAGAAATGTTAAAAATTAGATTCATTTGCACCTTTTTGTTTACCTTCAATATCATTATTTTGTATTGTATTTCTATTTAATGTTAGAGTTTTCATTAAGGCTGAAATAAAATTCATTATAGAATAAAAATAGAATGAAAGTAGGTCAATTAAGCTCACTAGATTCATTGATTAAAGACAGCTGGAAGATGCACACTAACACTTTCTTTTAATAAATTAGTTAGAGGCAAAAAGCAGCTGTCAGGAGAGCCAGTGCCTGCAAGGCTCTGCTAGGTGTAGGGCGGATAGTTCTTCCAGCCCTCCCGAGATGGAAAAGGCTGGGTAGAACAGTTGCGGAGGAAACACCATTGAATTTAAACCAGAGAGCGACTGCAGAGAAGCACAACAGGGACATAGGACAGCCTCCAGTATTAAATGTTTCCTCCAGAAATATTAACAAATATACAGCCCAAATTAAGTAGACAAATTAAGAGCGCTCGTGTTTCTGTGTTTATTGGGCATTTTGACAGCAAACTGTCATGGATTTTTGGCAGCAGGTCCCTGCTTGGACTGCTTCCCAGTGGGATTATGGGCTGTCAGATGGACAGAATGCAAAACGGGTTGACCAGCTGCCATTTGTAGAATTTGGAAACAGGCAGATTGTTATATATTTTTTCTCTTGACAACCAAACAAATGTTTTCTGGCCAGACTGTATTGTGCTCCTTATAAGAATACTCCCCCCCCTCTTTTTTTAATCTTCTGAGACTTTTTCTCTATTTTGAATTTGGTCTTTGAGGATCTTTCCCCCACCCCCCAGCTTTTGTTTCTGTTTATAAGATGAACAGATCAGGAATTTGAAAACAAGGATACGATTTAAAAATGGGGGTGGGGGAGAAACCCTTAAGTTTGTTTTTCCTGGTCAGATGGAAAGTTAGCATCAGGAATTCATTTAATCTTTGGCAGTGTGTGGACATTTTGCAGTAGAGGACAAAGTGTGGATGTCTAGGCTAAAAACTGCGTTTAGTATGTTCTGTACAATCTCTTTGCTGGTCTCCTAAGTTCCATCACAACGGAGTTGTCTAACTGGCTCCATGTTGCCATATATTCATCTTAAAATGGGCTCATTAAATCCTTCCCTGCTGGGAGTCTGAAGACCTGCTCTTTCTCTTGAAAATGATCTTTCGCGTTCGCCAAATCAGACAAAGGGTGCACTTTGACTGCTACAAATTTCAGTAGGGGAAATATTTACTTCTACTTTTGAAACAATTCAGTTTAATTCTGTGCATGCCCTACTCCAAAGCGGTGGCAGCCACACAGATAGATTTTGGGCATTTTTTATTTTTATGTAGCAACTTAGATGTACTTGGAACTGACTGAGAAACAGGCAGCCTTATCTGAAAGGACTGCTTAACCGAAATCCTGTACAGTTACACCCGAGGAAGGCAAGCAGCATAACTTGCAGTGGCTTCTTGCTGGCACTTAATGAGTCCCTGCTTGGAGGTTTAGGGATGCACTTCAATAACCAAGTATGGATTTGTTCATTAGCAATGTGAAGCTGCTGTAAGTTACACTGCTTGCTTTCCTCAGATGCAGCTGCACAGGAGGATTTTCTCCCTTGTCTGTCTTCGTAAACAGTTGTTTTAAACTAGTGGCTCCCAACCTTGGGTCCCTGGATGTTCTTAGACTACAACTCCCAGAAATCCTGGCTAGCACAGCTAGTGGTGAAGGCTTCCAGGAGTTTTAAGCCAAGAACATCTGGGGACCCACGGTTGGGAACCACTGGTTTAAACAGGTGTTAAAGATTTGTTTGTGGTTGTATAATTGGTTAGGATTGTAAGATGATATGTCCCTATTTGCAAAACAACTCAGCCTGAAAGAAGAATTAGCCCAGCACTCAATGAAGGAAACCCTGGAGTGCATCTGGTTCTGTCATATCATTAACAGTACTGCTTACATCAACAGAATCGGAAGGAGGGAGTTCTAACCCTAAATCTGTTCCTGAAGCTTGGGTGATTTTTTTTGAACAGTTTTTCAGGTTTGAGGAAAAGAAGGAAAATGGGAGAAAACCTTGCTTGGCTTGCGGAGTTCTGTAATTTAACAATGTTTGGTGGGGCTTGAGTTCCACACCATGATATATGTACAAAACATGATGACTTGGATTCAGTCAGTGGTTTCTAAATTTTTCAGCATCATGCCCCATATCTGATTTCTGAGAAACTCCAATGGCTTTCCAATTCTCCATTACCATCATTCAACTGCTTTTCAAAAAAACAACTATCAATTTGTAGTTTAACATTAAATGTCAATCCGAAAACTTAGTGGAAAATTATTTGAAATTTTTAAAAAGTGAAATTAATTTTCTTGTCATAAAGTTAATAAAATTTAGCTTACCTTTTCCTTAGGAAGTAAAAGTAATAAGGCAAGCTTGAATAAAAAGAAAAAAAGTGGTGTGGTCCCTGTACACCACTGGTTCTTAACCTTGAGTTACTCAGGAGTTTTGGACTGCAACTCCCAGAAGCCTTCACCACCAGCTGTGCTGACTGGGGTTTCTGGGAGTTGCAGTTCAAAAGCATCCGAGTAACAAAGGTTAAGAACCACTGCTGTACACAATCTGAAGACGAGAGTGAGTGACACTTTTATTAGACCACTAAAATCACATTTTAGTGTTCAGCCTGGAGGCAGGTGGTGCATCATGGCCTCTCCCAGTTTGAAGAGACACTTTTCCAGGCCGAGGCAAAGAGGCAGTCCCGAAACCAGCAAAATCAGGGAGCTAGACAGGGGACAGATTGTATTTGGCTTCAGTGTGGAAGGGATTGTCACTCTCGAATTGGCCTTCTCAGCCACACTAGGCGCTGTTCCAAGTCCTCCATGCAGAGCACGATATCATAGTCTCTCGAGACTGAAGGATGCCTACCAAAAATCACATGCACAGAACCTTTATGTTTTTACTACACTACCCTCAACTCTGTAATGCCCAGCCTGATGAAGCCTCCTGGAGGAGTTGAAAGCTAGTTTCTGTTATTAAGTTTGTAGTCATCTCAAAAAGATATTGCCCGCCCTTGTCTTTGGAAAGCAAATTCAAACTGAAAGATGATTAAAATATTAGTCTCACACATGGTGCTTGCAGTTTTCCACATACCTCATGGGGGGCATGCCTCCCAGATTGGTAACCAATGAGTTAGCTGGAAGAAAGTGTTTGTATTAGAGGAAACTTACTGTATCTGAAATGCAGTTGCGGGAACAGTTAAGAATTGAACCTGTTACATTTGGTCAGAGAAATAACTCTTACAGAGTAGCAGGACAATTCTTTGTGCACCTACTCAAAAGTAAGACCAATTGATTGTGTATGACGTGTCCCTGAGGAAGTGTCTGTAGGACTGCAGCCATAGTAGTGTTTTGGATCTATCTTCAAAGTGTATTCAATATTTTATTAAGTTCTCATGCATAATAAGGATTTACAAAAGAGGTGAGAGGACGTGTGGATTTCTTTAACAAAGCACTTCCCTAGAAGATGTGGCAAATTTGGGATTGCACACCAAGAGGTGTAATTTGAGGTGTAGCTGGAGGTAGTGGTGAATCATTTGTAGAGGTAGATTATAAGCTTGGTGAAATGCCATACCTGAACCTACTGTAAGGCTGATTGGGCAACAGCTAAATGCAATACTATTTGCTGGAAGCCCACCATCTCTGCCTATTTTCTTGACCAGCCTTATCTCTCAATATCTGTTCCCTCTATCTCTGACTAATCAGCCTTTATCTCTATCTGGATCTCATCCCAATCTCTATCTGACTCCTCCTTCTCCCGCCAAACCTTCATATAGCTGCGGACTCCGGCTCTCCAGCCCTCTCATACGCTCATGCAAATCAGCTCATGACATTCCTCTCCCCCTAAGAAAAGTTTGTTTCATGGGGGAAACCTTACAGTTTATCCTTATGAACAATGGAACACACAGGGAACATTACATACAAAACACCATCATAATAATATGCTTACCAGTTACGTCCTAAATCACATACCGTATGTTAACATATAACACATTACATTTACTGTATAATACATACCTTATACTCATTTTCTTATATTATGTTTACTAGATCAAACATATTACTTTAAACATTTAAAACAATCAATGCAATTATAAACATTTGCATTACTCACATCAATACAAACCACATTACCTTTACATTAATAATACTACTCACCATTATTATTTCCCCTCTCTATACACCTCTCAGCTCATCCAGATCCAAACTTGGCATTTTAAGCATTTTTCCCATAACTATACACAAACAAAACATTTAATACCTCATTTCATGTCACTCTGTATCTGTTCCCTCTCTCTGATTAACCAGTCCTTATTTCTATCTGGATCTCATCCCAATCTCCATCTCTATCTGACTCCTCCCCCTCCTCTCCCCCCCCCGCCAAACCTTCATATAGCTGCTGACTCTCCAGCCCTCTCATAGGCTCATGCAAATCAGCTCATCATCAAGAGCCTTGAGTCTTTAGAATCAAATACTGTTCCTAAGGGGCTCCATGCTCAGATTTGTTCGTAGTGTCCCTCAGAAATTTGTAGTCAGAGATCATAGTAGTGTAAGAAGTGACAAGAAGATTGCTGGCAGACTGACTATTCCCAGAGTTTGGGTGCCAAAGGAAAACAAGGTGGTGGTCCTTCAGGATGATTGTGGTGGTGAGTCTCAGAGTCTTGAGTAGAACTTCATGGAATGTTTTGCACGAGTAGTGAACCTGTAGCTCCCCCAGGTGATGTTGGACTGCTGCTTCCATCATCGCAACTGTGAGCTGTACTGGCTGGAACTGGTGGGAGTTGGATTCTGACAACATCTGGAGGATCACAGGCTCACCCTTGCGGATTTGAGGCACCAGGAGAACTGTGGACATGAAGGCTTTAGGTGGGAGCATAAAGCTGACGTGCAGGAGCCAAGACTCACTTTTTTTTCTTGCCTTGCTTCTCGCCAGGATGACCAACGCCTGCCATCGCAAATGTGTTCCCCCACATTACAAAGAGGCTGAACTGTCGAAAGGGGAGTCTGTGTGCCTGGATCGTTGCGTCTCCAAGTATCTGGACATCCACGAGCGCATGGGCAAGAAACTGACTGAGCTCTCAATGCAGGATGAGGAGTTGATGAAGAGGATGCAACAAGGAGCTGGGCCAGCATAAAATACCTGCTTTTGATAATGGACAGGATGCCCCTTCCCCCCTCTCTGGTCCCCACCGCCACCAATAATCGCAGTGCCTGGCCTCAGGGTTGATCCTTTATTTTGCCAATAAAACTTAAAATGTTCTGTTATCTGTCATAATTGCTTTGGCTGGCTGGATAGCTCAGCGGTTTTAAGTATCTGGCTGCAGAGTGATTCCCCTTCTGTGAGAGAAAAGCCAGCCCGTGTGGTCTGGGGCAAGTCCCAGGGCACCTCCAGAAGACGGTAATAGTAAGCTGCTTCTTAGTACGCTATGCCTAAAAAAAAAAACCCTTGGAATTGATTGCCATAAATTGGAATCGACTTGATGGCCTGCAACAATTAAAGCTTTCTCTGTTTGTGTACCTATGTGTACATAGGTATGGTGTTGAAAACTGCCTTTGGGGGCACTCAGTTCTTTTATGTAGATTTTTAAAGTCAGAATCCAGTTCTGCACAAGAATGTAGTGACGTGCAGTGGTTTGTTGTTGAAGCTGTTGTTCCCTTGGTGCTTTCAGACAACAGCAGTAGAAACTATAAGGGTGATTATAATCTTCGATGTGCTACTTACAAAAAGTGCTATTTAGAAGCAAGTGCTGAAGCGCGAGAGAGGTGATCCAGTCCCTCCACTATTGCCGCGCAGGACCATCTGCCCACCACAGAGGGAGAGCAGATGTACCACATAGAGAGGTTCAGTATAGCTAAGAGCTCTTGATTGCTCAACCAAATGAAGTTGGCTATAGTTTCAGAACAAAAACAAGTCTGTTTGGAGGTAGACAGAGTACATGATGACGTGCGATCAAGTCAGCTTCAAAGGAAAGTTCATTGGAGTGCAAAGGCCACATGACTGAAAAGGCCATGTCTATTAATATTAATACAATTTTAACTTTGAAAGAGTCAGCTTGAAAGGAGCATTCTTGAACTTGCCTCTGCTTGAGGATGGAGCTGGCTGTAGGTGCAGAAGGCAACCACTAAGGGGAACTAAAGCCTGTAAGATGGTCATTTCCCGTGGTTTGAGACGCAGGGCCAGAGTCCTTTGGAGAAGCTCAGGAAAGGGTGGCGCAATAGCGCCGAGGGAAGGGCAAAGAGGAAGGTCAAGAGCTGTATCTCTGCTGCCCACTGCCCACTTGTGTAAATTGGGAACTCCTGGAGAAGAAAACCCTGTGCAGTACGTGTCATAGACTTACAAAAAGAAGTAAATAGGTCAGCTTCAGCCTTCACCCGGCCTTCTAAAAAGCAGCTACTGTTTTTATGGGTTGGGATGTGGGTTTTTGTGTGTGTGTGCATGTGCGTGTATGCTTGTTAAATCAGCTTTCATCACGTCCTGGTGCTTTTAGTTGGAAATGCTTGAGGCATTTCTCTGTACTCCATGAACTGGAAGTCAGTCTTTTTTTTTTTTTTTTGCTCTTTGTGTCATCCTGAAGCAAAATAGATGGGGCCAGTGGCTGTTTTTCACTTTGCCGTTCCTTTCCCTCACTGCCCCTTGGTTATAATTCAAGTGGGCCTCGAAGACCTTCCTTGGTAGCTTTCTGTGCACACACATTTATCTATTTAATACATTTTCTATCCATTACTATGGCCAGCAGGGGACATACAAAGGCACATGCCTTTCCTTTCACAGTGCATGAATAACAACTTTCGGGCATGGTTTTCAATTTTTTTTTATGGATATGGTTTATAATTGGGCTCCTTTGATTTCTTTTAGCTTCATTCTGTTTTCTAATTAAATAAGCAGCTGTGTTTAGCCAAAGGGTGACTGACTCAATTAGAGCTGCTTAAAGCAATTAGAAGTTATTTAAAACCACATGCTGGAAGTTATTTGGCAAGTCTTCCTTGTGGTTTTATTCCTGTTCAGGGCAGGATGTTATGCAGTGGTTGCTTTCACAGAGCCTTGATCACACCCTGTTGTGGCTGGAAAGGGCAAGAGGAGTTTCAGATACAGTGACAACAGACATTAAGGGGACTTGTAAAATTCAAGGCGTCCCCTTCCTTGCTTGGAAAAAAAAGGCATGTAGCTTCCTTATGGGTTGGAGTGCTGATACATTGATCTACTAGTTTCAGTATTTTCTGTTGGCAAAGAATTTTACACATCATGCATTCAGGATGTACTTTCTGCACCAATATGAATATGGAAGCTACAGAAGATTCCAAGGGTTCTTGGTCAGATGTCCAGGTTGGCATCTACTTCATATCCTATTGGGACCCCAATGACTAACAGCTGGAGCCAGGTGTGGCTCCAGCTGTCCTTCAACTTAGTGGTTACCAACCTTGGGCCTCCAGATCTTCTTGGACTACAACTCCCAGAAGCCTTCACCACCGCCTCTGCTGGCCAGGATTTCTGGGAGTTGAAGTCCAAGAACATCTGGAGGCCCAAGGTTGGGGACCATTGCTTTAAAGGCTTCGATCTAAAGCACAATGACTACCTAACAGTCTTTTTGGACTTGGTGAGACTTTCGGTCATCACAGTAAACAAGGGCTTACTGGGATGGGTAAACAAACACTAGACATCAGTTTGTGGTTTGTTTCTCATAATGTCCAAACATATGGGCTGTTGTCACTTTGGCTTATTTCTCCTACAATTAGTTAAATACACAAACCTTAAAATAAGTCCTAGATTTTTGTTGCCTTGTTGAAAGAGAAACAAGAGAACCAACTACTGCCACAACCAAATGTCGAGAGAAACAAGCCACAAACCAACATGGCTTCCTTAGCTGCTGCTTCTGTGATTATGACTGATTGGAAAGCATGTGCCAACACCTAAGCATGGAAGTAAAAGTTACTAGGCGGTGTAGTGGGCATAATGAAGTAATGTCTCAAAAGTAACATGGAATCATAGAATAGTGAAGTTGGAAGGGGCCTTTGAGGCCGTCCAATCCAATCTCCTGCTCGATGCAGGAATATACTGTAAATCAAAAGATATCTGCCAGGTGGTTCTCTAACTTCCTCTTGAATGCCTCCAAGTGTTGGAGCATTCACCAGCTCTCGAGGTAATTGGTTCTACTGTCATACAGTTAGGAGGATTTTCCTTATATTCAATCGAAATCGGGCTTCCTATAACTTGAACCCATTGTTGCGTGTCCTGCACTCTGGGATGATGAGAACAGATCCTGCCCCTCCTCTTTATGACAGCCTTTCAAATATTTGAAAAGTACTATCACATCACCCCTCAGTCTTCTTTTCTCAGTGCTAAACATACCCAATTCTTTCAGCTGTTCCTCATAAGGTTTGGTTTCCAGCCCCCTTATCATCCTTGCCACACTCCTCTGAACTTGTTCCAATTTGTCAGCATCCTTCTTGAAGTGTGGTGTCCAGAACTGGACACAATACTCAAGGTGAGGCCTAAGCAGTGCTGAATAGAGAGGGACTAGCGCCTTGTGAGATTTGGAAACTATACTTCTATTAATGCAGCCTAAAATAACATTAGTCTTTTTTGTAGCAACATCACACTGTTGACTTGTATACAGCTTGTAATGTATGACAATTCCAAGATCCTTCTCACTTGTAGTTTTGCTGAACCAAATATCCCCATCTTGCAACTGTGCAATTGGTTTCTTTTTCCGAGGTGCAGTACTTTGCACTAGGCCCTGTTAAATTTCATTATGTTGTTTTCAGCCTAGTGCTCCATCCTACTTTTTAATTTTGTTTCTGTCTTCCAGGGTATTAGCTGTTCCACCTAATTTTGTGTCATCCATAAATTGGACAATTTGCAAATTTGACAAGCATTCCCTGCACTCCCTCATCCGAGTCATTAATAAAAATGTTGAAGAGCACCGGGCCCAGGACTCAGCCTTAGGGTACCCCACTTGTCACCTCTTGTCAGTTAGAGAAGGACCCTTTAATCATCACCCTCTGAGTATGATTCTGTAGCCAATTGTTTATCCACCTGACAGTTGATCTATCCAGCCCACATCTAGTTAGCTTGCTAATCAGGATATCATGGGACACTTTGTCAAAAGCTTTGCTAAAGTCAAGATATACTATGTCTACAGCATTCCCTCTGTCTACCAGGGAGATTACCTGATAAAAAATTAGATTAGATTAGTCTGGCAGAATTTTTTTTGACAAATCCATGTTGGCTTCTAGTTATTATTGCATTGTTTTCTAAGTGCTTGCATAGTTACTGGTTTTTAATTCGTTTTTCTGGGATTGATGTCAGGCTGACTGACACCTCACCTGTTTCCCATGATTTCAAGAAAATAATGGACAACAGTTCTGAGAGTTCTTCAGCCAATTCCCTCAGTACTCTCGGATGCAGTTCATCTAGGTCTGGAGATTTGAACTCATTAAGGTGGTAAGGTATTCCTTGACTTTTTGTTTATCTCTCTCCAGCTGCAATCTTGTCCCCGCCCCCCCCGCCAATGTGCACTTCCAATTTGTTTGGAAGTTCATATTCTGTCCTATGGGAAAGCCTGAACTAAAATAGGAATTGAGCAACTCTGCCTTTTCTTTGTCCTCTGTTATCATTTTTCCATCTCCGCCAAGTAGCTGTGCCACTGTTTCTTTTCTTTGTCTTTTGCTTCACACATTCCTGAAGAATGTTTTTTTTATTGCTTTTAGTGTCTCTAGCTAATCTCAGCTCATTCTCAGCTTTTGACCTCCTAATGCCATCCCTGCATTTCCTTGCTACTTGTCTGTACTCTTCCTTGGTGACCTGGCCTTCTTTCCACTTCCTATACAGGTTTTTTCTTTGTTTTCAGGTCCTCCCTGAGCTTTTTGTAAAGTTACACTGGTCTTTTTTGCTGCCTCCTACCTTTTTTTCTTGTTGGAATTGTTTGCAGTTGTGCTTTTAGAATTTCTGTTTTTAGACTGCTTTTCTTTTTAGGATCTGCTGCCATGGGACTTTACTCATCCTTGTTCTGAGATAATTAAAATGGTGTTTTTTTCTTTTAAAAAATCCAGCATATGTTTTGTGTGGCTACACTCTAGTTTGGTTTCCTTTGAAACCAAGAATTCTAGGAGAACAGGGACACTCTTGCCCAGAGGTCCGCTTACTGCCACTTCCTCCACCAAGTTGTCTCTGTTGGTTAGAATCAAGTCAAGAATAGCTAGTTCTCTAGTTTCTTTCTCCACTTTTTGTAGGAGAAAATTATCAGCCACACGAGCCAGGAATTTCT